TTAGAATAATTGCCTTTTTTTAAAATTAAAACGCGGGGAGTGTCGTTCTTTTAAGTATGTTGCTTGTATGTCCGCTACGGATACATAAAGTGAGGGATGGTACAAATCTTCTTTAAGAACAGACTGCAAACAATGGCTAGTCGTTAGGGGTAGATTACTAAAGCATAAGTCCAATGTGTTACCGTCTTTATTCAAAACAAAGTTTTGTTGTGACAGCCCTAAAAAGCCGAGTCCCTCAACAAATGACTTGCCAGCCTCAGTCAGTGTTCCACTAATAGACTTTGAGACGTTATAATCGCCATTGCTACTATTCCAACAGATAAATGGCAAGTTAAAATCCCCAAGTAATAGAAAATTATCCGATGAATAGCCACTTACTATTTGCTCGACACAGTTCAACGTACAATCTAACCGCGCGGGCAAAACGTCCCAATCTGTATTAATATAAACCAGAATCAAATGCAAGTCGTCTGCAGAGCGCAGAGCGCGCGCGGGTATTGTAATACATAACGATTCAAAGGTAGTAGACGCAGGCCACACGCTCGTCAGCTCTGCATTTAGTTCACGCCGAATGCAAATCATTACACCTCCGCCGGCTTTTTTTCCGGCTGCTATACGATTTCGGTCGCAGCGAAAAATATTATACCTACTATCGCATAGTTCTGTATCTAATATATCGCTCTGAAGCCATGTTTCGGTAAATAACAGAACATCAAAGTCATTAGATAAAATATTACGTCCGGACATAGCTTCCAACTTAAAGTGCAACTCACGTGTCCCGCGCGTTTCCTCTCATACAGGCCTTCAACTAGACCGCTACTAAGACGCGCTAGCTGCTCACGAGACAGACGCCCCAAACATATGCAAAACCGGGACTGACTATGACTAACCTAACCACAAACCCCAGAAGGTCCATACCCAAGGCCGGGTCCGTTGTACGCAAAGGCGTATCACTGGCGGAGGCCTTGGCCGCCCGCTGTACCCTGGTCTTGCCGTCGAGCCCGTAGTCTCTCCGGAAAACCCTATCTCTCTTTTCGCTAGATAGGGACATCTCTGGTCGGTACATAGGGACAGTTGCTTCAGCTGTACTAAGCACAATACCGGTCGTGCATGGAGTACTGTTGCCACCTTTAGGATGGCTCCGTTACATACCAACTGGCCACCTTTGATTCAATTGAGAACCGTGCCAAGAAGCTTATAGGTTGCTCGGAATTAGTGGAGGCGAAGCTTCAGAGCCTTGAACACCGCCGTATAGTTGCCAGCTTATCGGTATTTTACAGAATATATCACAGAGAGTGTGCGATGGAATTACATGATTTAATTCTGCTTTCCCCTTTCCGTCACCGGGGGACTAGGCGTAGACTTGGGTTCCACCTCTATGTTGTGGATATTCTAAAGATTCGCACGAAGCGTTACGCTTCCACATTTATATGGCGAACGGCTATGGAGGGGAATTTCCTGCCTGCAGACTTGTTCCCTGAAAATTATAACTTGGACCTTTTCATGGCAAAAGTGAATAGGCATTCATCCATCGTCGACCTCGTCGTCACTGTCCATCAGGTGAGATGGAGGTCAAAAGCGAACTTACTTTAAAAAAAACAATTAGTTTTATCTTAGAAAAGTCATTTTCTGGCGTCTACATTTTCACATACACAATTCGGAAGCGAGCGGTTTTTACAAGATTTCTTGCAGAAAATAGCTCTTAGCCAGCCACCTCTAGACATTAACTGCCTCTGTGGCCGTACGGTTACCATGCCGGACTGCCACGCAGAGGTCCCAGTTTCGATTCCCAGGCCGGAAGAAATATTTGTATGGCCTACATTTATTTCTCTCGTGAGTTTGGGTGTAATTTGTGGTTGTCTATGTGTTTGTCCATGGCACCCGCGACACAGGATTTCCCTAGTGCAGGGCTATATTGAGTGTGCGCGTTATTATTATTATAAGTCATCTTAGAAGCTTTTTTGAATATAATGAACTCAATACGCATCTCAACTTACCTTTTTCTGAATCTGAATTCAACTTATCTTTGAACAGTAAAAGAGATACTTCCCCAGGATTACATGACATTACATACATTTTAATAAAACGTCTTGATTCGACAGCTAAGTTAATTTTATCAAACATCTTTAATGATCTACGGGTAAAAGGTTTTATACCTGATTCTTGGAAGTCTATAGCAATAGTTCCCATTTTAAAACCAGAACAAGACCACAAATTTGCAGATTCCTATCGACCGATTTCCTTGTCCTTTTGTGAAGGTTAAATTTTTGAAAATATGTTAAAAACAAGATTGGAGCTTTATGTAGAATCTAGACGAATTATTCCCCATGACCAATTCGGATTTCGTAAGGGCTGTAGTACAATAGACAGTGTTTTAAAATTTTGTGGTGATATACAGGAATCATTCTGCAATGATGGCTATTTAATTAGTGTTTTTTTTTTCGACGTAAGCGATGCTTTCGATAACGTTGATTTGTCGATTTTAGTCCAAATACTACATACTTTTAATATACCCGGGAAAGTATGTAGTTGGATTTTTTTATTTTTTTCTACTCGCGAACAGTTTTTATTAAATTTAATAACAGTTTACACGGTCCTAAGATAGTTTTAAAGGAGTACCACAAGGTGCGACCTTGTCACCTTTGATTTATCTCTTACACACATCTCAAATACATAGATATGTAACAGTACCAAGACTCTCTATCCTTCAGTATGCTGACGATATTGTGTTACATACTTCTCACAAAAATTTAATACAAGCAGAATCTACTTTAAATGAAGCATTAAACAAATTACATATATATTATAAAGATAGACTTAAATTAGATGTAAATCCTTCTAAAAGCTCTGTCATGATATTTAACAAAAAAATTGATTATTATGACTCTCTAGATATTGTAAATAGTTCTGTAAATATTAAAACAGTAGAAGAAAAGAAGTTTTTTATAATTTTTTATTCTAAATTAAATTTTCATTCTCATGTACATAAAGTTGTAGATAAAATGCAATAAACTGTAAATGTGATGAGACATTTAGCTAGTGTAACTTGGAAAATGGATCCCAAAATTTTGAACATAATTTTTAAAGCTATAGTTAGAAGTCACTATGATTATGGGTTAGTAGTGTATGGAAAGCATATTAGTTCAAATTTGTCAAAAATCATAAATCATTAGCACGAAGAATGGGAAAGCTCCAAAAATTTTAAAGGAAGTTGGTATGCTCAAATTCAAAAACGAATCCCACCTAAACCTTGGTATTTTAAACGTAAATCACGCTCTAGAAAATTCATTACAACGATGAACAGATTGAGATTTGGACATGGCAAGTTTCCAGCAGACTTAACGAATCAAGATCATTTCCTCTGATACTGTATTACTATGAATGAATATTGTGATTTAGCTGTTGCAAATTTAGATCACCTCATTCTGCATTGTCCTGCCTTCAATGTGCAAAGGTTACTATTATTTATAAAGGTTACTAGTATATTATATAAAGGTTATAATTTTAAAGGTTATTAAATTATAAAGGTTACTAGTATATTTATCTAGTAGATGGCCAAATGAAGATTTATGAAGAGAATTCATTCCCCACCTCCTGCCATCTCTACTAGAAAACGACTTCCACTTTCGAAGATATATGAACATTGAAACTATTTACACGGTATATAGGAAACGTTTTTTTCTCGCCAGAGTCGAATATATATCATAAATTTGCACCAATCCACGTGACGTTCTTTCTGCTCATCGTGAAGCTTGTGCGGAACCCGACAGCTTGAACGTTTTCTTGAGTAACCGCGTTTGGCGACCGACCTGACTTCGCCTCATCTTCAAAGCTTCCCCATCCTCTTTTAAATTCAGCACACCAATTGAAAACTTTGGCTCGTGAACAAGCAGTATCACCAAAAGTTGTGACTAAAAGTTCAAAACATTCTTGCGGATTTAAACCTTTTTTGTAGTCATAATAAATCATAACACGAAAATCACGTCGAGAGAGCTCCATTGTTGCGAACAAAATTCCCGCTCGATTGTCTCCGAAAAATGAAAAAATATTTTTTTTATTATTAGTTTTGGCTTGGGTACGAGTCCTTTGAGCCATGTCTTCGTTTAATTTATAGGGATCCTCAGTAATTTTTGCCATTGTAATTCTAAATTCTAATACATTACGTTTTCACTTTCTCTTAAATAACTTGGCTAATTTATTTGGGTTTATTAAATAGTTTTTTAAGCTGCGGAAATCAATAGGTATGTTTTACTTTCACTTAAATCACATTATCTTCTATCACTTTGAACAATAACTTTGAATCCGTAATAAGTGGAATTTTCAGGATAAAGTCTTGTAATTTGGTTTAAAATACGGAATATAGTTCTAACTTTACTCATCACTTAAATTAAATTAACGCCCACACTCGACATAGCCCCGCACTAGGGAAACCCTGTGTCGCAGGTGCCATGGACACACACATACACAAACACAAATTGCACCCAAACTCACGAGAGAAATAAATGTAGGCCATACAAATATTTCTCCCGGCCCGGGAATCGGACCTGGGACCTCTGCGTGGAGGCAGGCATGGTAACCGTTCGGCCACGGAGCCAGTTAAATTTCTTTCTTTCTTCTATACTATACTATTTCTTTCTTCATAATATACTTAAAATTAAAATAATCTTTTTAAAAACTGTACTGGTAACTTCAAAAACCCGTCATTTTTTCAAAATAGAAAATAAATAAAAAAGAATTTGATTTAAGACGTGTTCCATTTTCAAATTTATTAGCAAAATAACCTGCCTTTAAGACGGTATGTAACTTGCCAGTATCAAACAAGTGATTAAAGATTATCGAAGTTCTTTTGGCATGACCCTCATAAACATTTTTTCTTAGAATAGGTTTTTAATTTTATTGATTTTCTAGGTATTTATCCAAAAGTATATAGGCATGTTAAATGAGTTGGCAAAAACTTTCTCATTCCAATTCATTTAACGTCGAAAATGACAGTAAGCCAGTAATTAGCAAAATTGTAGGAAGGTTTACCCCTGCGTATGTAGGAAGCAAGATACCCTTTCGCCACGTTTTGAACAAGGACAATTAACTTTCACGAGGGTTCATAATCCTGCTGAAGTAGTGCATGCACATTAGCCCAGCTTTAATTTAAATCTTGGTTTAGCCGTTTCCTAAGAACAATGTCTCAAACGCAATGATACTATTTAAACACTGGCAATTTTTATTTCTAAAATAAAATGGGTTATTATATTAAGCAATTAAATGCCAAAATGTTGTGTGGTTAAAAAAGTGGTAGCCACTTAACAACAAATGATGCAAAGCGATCTGCAATACCTAAAAAGACAAAATTCTTTTTCTAAAGGAAAAAGAGTAAACAAAGTTAATTTCTACAAAGTCTGGAGATTATTCCTCAAAGTAATAGTATCGAACATGCTTGGGACATGGATCGAAATATTCGTTATGAGGCAAGTCTAGAGCGGAGAGCGCCGAATCGAAGTAATGCCGAGTGAAATGCACCACATCTTTCGGCTTCAACAACAGCACAGCTTGTAGAAAATCTCGAACTGAATTTGTCAATACGCCATTCTCAGCCACGTAGCGAGCGCCTTCTGAAGACCTCGTGCTCTGTAGAAATATAAATGTCCCATAATTTCAAATTCACAACAAAAGACTGAAAATCAACGTAAAGACATCAACAGAGTATAACATAGACCGTCCACAGACTGCCATTCTGATAAAGCACATACTTACGAGAGCAGCGACAGACTAGTTTTATATAACGCATTCCTCTTATGTAAGAGGTTCGGACCCCGAACCTAAATTAAAAAAAATTAAATAAAGGATCCTCAACGTCACCGGTCAAACTCTTTTCGAATCTTGGGCGAATTTTATTTTTTAGTATCGCATGCCCAAACAGTAAAGAAACACAAGGGGCAAAAGATTACAAGTTATCTGAAGGTCAATGCCTTAAACGGCCGCCTACAAGAGATACGTGCCCAACAGTGGAATGTAGGTACAAGGGTTGATAATAATGCCACTGCGACATTCTACAGTCTTTATTAGATCCACCCGTCTATCTAGTAATAGTGGTCTTACAATGCATTTGAATGCAGTTAGTGATCCTCGAAACCCTTTCTTCCCTTAATCATTAACTTGAATAAATAATTATATGCCTAAAACCTCCTGACCACAAAATAAGTAAATTGCACTTGCCTTGTAATCTAAGTAATCGGAAAGCAGTTGAAGATCATCACGCCAATGTTCACGCAATGGTGCATGCTGCTCTATTTCGTCCTTTTCAGGAATAACATTTAGCAATGGATTCAAATGGAACATATAATTATTATCAGCCCATTCATGGCTGATCATATAGCCTTTAAAAATATTTAACAAATTAATTTTAAAAATTAACTCGTACAAGTAAATAAAAGTTAACAGTTACTATCTTTACCTCTGAGACTAAGAACTGTCAATGTTTGGTGAATGTATCCAGAAGGTTCTATAATATGACGCTCCACTTTTACTACAAACAGGGGTTTACCATTTACGATGGCTTGACTTACTCCAGGGCACACCTTAAATAAATAGAAGTAATTTGAGAAATTATCCGTCGTATGTAGGTGTGTTACATAGGTATGTACTTAGAACTAAATTATGAAACATAATAGCAGAAGTATATCTTACATAGACACTTTCACAAATAGTTCCGTTTATAAGCACTGTATCTGTTTTTATAGTACCCTTGTACCGGCGAAGTCCGAGATAACGAAGGAGTACCACATTAGCGCCTTCAAGTAAAAAGTCGTGAGCAACTTTAAAAGGATGGTAATTTCGTTTAACCGTGTTTCGCTCTCCGCATAAGTAAGTCACTTTGTTATAGTAACCATTGTCGCAAATTGCCATGTAACTTCTGCGCTCTTTAGATAACTCCTGCTTCGATATATGTCTGAAAAATTGGAGGGAATAACAAAAGTAGACGCCCTTTTTTCAAATGCATTTGTTTTCGCAATAATCTTACTCGACTCGGTTCTCCTCCAGTGTGTGAAGATTAATATCCAAAATACTGACAAGCTTAGAACCAGTTTTGGCCCCTTCTTTGGATGAATGCGATATAACGTGAACCAAAAACTTGCCTCTGTCTTCTCCTAGAGTTTCTACGCTAATGCTTATACCTGTAGAGTTTTGAATTATTTATAATCGTATTCGTCAAACTGTCAGGTAATAAATATTTTCATTTGTAGCTTAAAATAATTACCTCCTACTGCACTGCAACAGTCAACGGAAGGTTTCCGAAATCTCTTTTTTTTAAAACGTGGAAGTTTCAGTCCATGAACTGGGCACACATCATCTGGCCTTTTTATTTCATCATATAAACCCAAAATCTTAAACTTTTCTTCTTCTTGTTTTTTTGGACATATTTTATCGTATCTGTCATACGCATAGTCAAAGAATGTATTCTTTGGATCAACATCGTGGCACCAACGATAGCCATGCTTACCAGCACGCACCTTCTTTATCACCGTAGGCGATGCAGCACCAGGCGGTGGACATGTGCAAATATAACCTTTTTCAATTTGTTTGGCTTTATCCAAACATATACATTCCTCTATCTTTGCCGCCGCGGTGTCACAAATACAGGGATATATGCAATCGCAAACTTTCATACACTTGCATTTATTTGGATTTTTACAAGTGCAAACAGCTTTAGGTGGAAAACAATTGCATTCCAGACCCTTTTTTTCACAATTACACACTCTTGCAACATTACAACTGCATATAGATGGTGAATCGTCACTTTTGTAAGGTAAATCGACGCTACCTTCAGGCTCACATACGCAAGTTTTCTGGACACCACAAATACACTCGTATTTGCTGCAGATACATTCATTGCCCTTAAGACAAAAGCAACGCTTTTTTGGATCCGGTTTCTGACATTCACAAGCGTCTTCTTTTCCCTCCTCCTCAACCTTCCTCGTCCCTCCTTCTTTTGTTGACTCTTCTATACCTTCTTCAACAATTATTTCCTCTAAAAATTCTTCAGTTCCCTGTTCACTCCCTTCACTTCGCTTTTCACTCCTTTCATTTGATTGCTCATATTTCTTCATTTTTCTTACCACTGTCTTAACTATTTGCTTTCGTACCTTGCTTGTCTCTTTTTGCTCTGCTTCTCCTTCATGTCCTTCTGCACGTCCTTCATCTTCCCCAAAAAATTCACCTTCAAAAGATGGGATACTTTCTACTTCTTTCAAGAATCCAAACTTAGGTTTGCTTTTACAGACGCATACGGGGTACGGGAATTTATCTGGATAACATACGCATGGTTTTTCTACATCACCACAAGTGCAAATTGGTTTAGGTAGATTACAACACGCACAGACCATTGCTTTTTCACATTCACAAACAGGTTTCGGTGTCTCATCGCAAATGCAAATATTTGATAATTTGCCACACGTGCACTCTGCTTCCTGTATTGCGCCGCACAGACAAGGAAGTTTAACAAAGCATTCACATTCTCCTTTTTTCCTTTTTTTGCAGGTACAAACTATTCCTTTCTTTGCAGCTATATTTATCTTAGGTAAGCCATCTGGGCCGATGAGAAGACTGTCTTTACTGTGGCTAGGTTTTGATGGTTTAGTGCAGTCAGGAAAAAAGTAAAAATGAAAATCATCTTCTTCTTCTGATTCTTGCTCTTCTTCTACTGCTTGTTCATAGTCTTTGATCTCAAATGGCTCAACTTTCACTTCTTCCGAAAGTTCACTCTTAGTAGATGGCGTACAAGTCCAAATGGAACTCAGAGACTCTTCTTCCTCGCCACTTTCATCTGTCTCTTCTTCTGGAACTTCATAGTGACCGCAGCTTACAATAAGAGTTTCAGCGAAACATAGTTCTGTTTTGAGTGCATCATCTGTAAGACATATGTAGTGTAATTTAACTCATTGATCCAAGTAAGGCATTGTGCATATACCTTACAATAAGACCGCCTTATTATCAGAAATAGTTTCATCCATTATGATCGAATATATTTCGAACATAATGGATGAAACTACTTACATAAATACTCCTTATTATTTTCTTTTCAATTCTCATTTTAACACAGTTTACAAATTTGAATAATAAAACCAAGAAAATTAGTTTGTTTTGATCTAAACTAATATTTTTCGCTATTACGGGGCACTAAATAGGCTAAAGAGTGATCTTATATTACAAATTGAAAAAATAAGCAAATCGCTATTTCACTTCCTAATCGGACATTCTCTGTAGCACTACAGAGGTTGTCCGGTTATGAAGTAAGGATAAGGTTAGGTAAGGTAAGGTAAGGTAAGGTAAGGTAAGGTAAGGTAAGGTAAGGTAAGGAAAATTTTATTACCTCCTCCTCCTCCTCCTTACCTACATAAGCTAATAAAAACATTAATGATTTCATACCTATATCGAAGTTTAATTGTTCATTTAGATCTAAAAGTGTAACATGCGTTTCAGTAGACGAAGTCATATTTTTGAAGTTTCGATTTTTTTAACATTTTACAAAATAGAATTGAACACGTGCACTGTTTAGTCAATGTCAAAGTGATTGATTGATTGAAGTCCACTTTATTTATAATTATATTTTAATGCTGCCAGTGATTTTGCCTTCGGACCAGTTATACCATTGAATTTTGAAAAAAGTGAATGCGACACCATTTAACATGGTTTAACCAATGATCTTATATACGGTTTAACATTGTACGCTTGCCGAAAACAAGCCATATAAAAAATAGGTCGAGAATAAACCACGCTTGCCTTGAAAATACCTATTCACTCTAACCTTGAAAAGGCCCAAGTTATATTTGTAAGTAAAACTTTATTTTTTCCATCCTAGGGGAAAAAGAGCACAGGACCTGTCTAAAGCTTAGACTCTGGATTTTTTTCTATCCTATAGGCTCTAAAGTCTCTACCTTAGGCTTAGAGGATAGGAAAGGAGCTGTCCTATCTACAGATTAAACGTGCATACATTAAACAAAAATTGTACGCCACAAATGGCGGATTTCTTTAGTGTTGTACCATAATCATCGATAAGTCAATATATACATGCAACTGTATGATTTAAATGTTGAAACTGAATCCTGGGAATATCCACAACATAGGGGTGGCAGCCCAGCCTACGTCTAGTCCCCCGAAGATGAAAATGGGAAGTCGAAATCAAATTATGCAATTCCATTGCACATTCTCCGTGATATTTACAACTTTACGACGGTATTCAAGGCTCTGCAGCTTCGCCTCTACTAATTCCGAATCACCTATAAGCCTCTCGGCGTGCTTATCGATTGAATTCAAAGTGGCCAGTTGGTATTTAGCAGAGCCATCCCATAAGTAGCAGCGTTTTGACGCATTATGCCAGAAACGCAAAATGCCAAACGGGCAGAATGTCAGATTCACGGAATGCCAGATTCACAGAATGCCAGTTCGCAAAATGCCAGATTCGCAGAATGCCAGATTAGCAAAATGCCAGATTCTCAAAATGCCAAATGTCACTGCCAGGAACAGGCCTTCCTCCTCCTAACGCAGGACAAAGGTCTCTGAGTAGGCAGGTTTAAGTTAGTAATACCTAATTGAAATTGTAAAGTTAGCAAGTTTCTTTGTGATATAACGATCAGTTATTTAGTAGTTAGAGGAAACTACATTTTGTGCTTAACAAATTAATAAAACATCCAGAACCTAACTTCATTATAATCATTATTGACCACTTTACTTGAATACTGATGGACATTAGTTCGTGCGTCAGGAGGAGCAATGCCCGTTCTTGTCAGTGACATTTGGCATTTTGAGAATCTGACATTTTGCTAATCTGGCATTCTGCGAATCTGGCATTCTACGCAATAGCAATAACAATTAGCAACCAGCTTGAGGTAAAGTAGGTGGTGGTACCCTGCGGCATTCAGACGCAAATTCTCTACAAACAGGCGCGAAGTCTCCTGAAGTAAAGCAAGCCTGCCAAGCTGGGATATGAAGCCAATCTGCTATCGTGTATTCGCCACACCCGTCACGTACCAGTAGGACCCTGATCGGATAGGGAGTATACGGATACAGCTTTAACCAGACAGTGGTCAGAAGTACCCAATAGTGCTTCCACAACCACAGAATATCGGTTTGGATCGGTTGTTAGCAATAGGTCCAAGCAATTAGCCGTATGAGTCTCAACATCTATAGTACTGCGTCTCGGTGAGGAACAACAGCTGCGGTTTGTCAGTTTCCAGGTGGTGTTGGACTGCTTCGATATTTGAGACCAAAATTCTGATGTTGTTGAGGTGCACATTTAGTGGGAGGACTGTATGTAAACTTTTATCTTTTTCTGTTACTACTATTCATTCTTGTTGTAGAGAAACGAATATGCGGGAGGAAGGCAGTTGAACGAGGCATTGCGTCGTGTCCAACCTAGTAGCAAGCGCACACTGCCACACGATGGTACAATCGGCTCGGAGTCCGCAAGGACGCCCGAACCGTCCCGGAGATGGCCACCTGGTCTCCCCTCCGGTCGCCGACCGGTAAGGTGGAGCACTCCGGGATTTTTCGTTGGGTGGCGGAGCAGATTTTCACGGGTAGCTTTCTCGTTAATTGGACCCCCAACTTCCCACTGTCGGCCAGCGGTGCACCATGATTCGGATCCCGCTAGCCTCCACAACCGAGAGCTCAGTGTGGGAGTACAAGCAGTTACTACTCGTCGTTAGACGCAATGCAGCTGTTCAGATTCGACTTCCTTATGGCAACTCCCGAACGCGAGCCGAAACGCGGACAAACCATTTCGTATGGTAACCAACCACGGCCGAAGTCTACCACCAGTAGTTGTTGCTCGTTTACCACCACCCGGGTTACACTTGTAGGGTCTCGAGGGTAAACATATGGAAGCGGCAACATCAACCCCCATGTAATACCAACCACCATGTAATAACTAAAATATTAGTGATAACAAATATTACCAAACAGGTATTAACTTATGACTATGAGAGAAAATAACTAACAGCGTGCATACCATGTCATTAGTTTCTACCGATCAGTTAAATTTTCTAAGGAAGTGAATAATATCGACCGCTATACGCACACAAACCAGCAGTAGAGCTTCTTGTGAAACAGTTCGTCCTAGAAAGTACTGCCACCTTACCTATTTCTGGCGCCAAGCGGTAACGTCAGCATTACCCGGATTAGAAGCGTAATGGTGCTGGTGAAATTACAGGCACATGGGAGTTGTCAACTTATGTCTCAGGGTGACGGGCAGTAGCAGTGCCCCTCAGATCTCTGCTATTTAAAGCCCTGAATGGCACAACTAATATAGTCAGGCGTGTAGCTTACCATCAGGCGCAAGACTTATTCGTCCCGTCACTTGATAGAATAATATATAAAAAAACAAACCAAATACTGTCGTAGTTCAAGATTTGAAAATTAAAAACAAAATTCTGAATGAAACCAATATATACATTCTCGTATACAAATGGTTAATTGAGTATTATGTATAAATAAAAATAATCACATTATTGGAAATAAAATCCATTCAATTTTTATTTTATTTTAATTTTCAAATTGTGTTTTCTCAGTTCCACAATTTTCAGTTACGAAATTATTTGGTTTCATGTGCGAATTACGTTCGCAATTAATGCTTAGGTTATTCGAGAATTTCATTGTACAATTTGAGGCAGTATTGTATGAGTTCTCAAACATTTTGATCAACTTGCTCGCATAAGAATGTCCCACACACGAAAGAAAAAACAATAACAGTGCTTTTTTTAATTTATTTCTGGCCATGGAAACAAAGTCCTTCAGCCGAAAACATAAAAATAAGTTTTTCTGTAAATATGGCCGCCACAAAGAGGATAGGCAATTTGAGGCGGCGTGCTTGGATTGATTCGGGATTCCTTAGAACGAGCCGATACGGTATTTTAGTTTGAGATTCGTATAATTTCGGGTTTTAATCTTCGATTAAGGCACAATATCACTATCCTATTCCACTTTAAACTAGATTTCACAAAATAATTGAAAGTCAAAATAAAAACGACACTTTTCCCTCCAAAAGGTCCAGAGCGAATCCGCTGAACTTCTTGTATACTTGTAGAGTCAAAAACATTATTATAATCACGATCCGTTGCATGTAGAAACTCTTATTGCACTTGATAAATTATGATACGAAGTTGAATGGACACTGTTATGTAACAATTATTTTTTTAATAAAAACTATCTGAAACTGTAAATTATATATAAATTGCGAATCTTTTATGAAGTGGTGATCAAAAGAACCATCTTTATTTTAACCAGTCATTTGAAGTTGTGCGTCAAACGAAACGACCGACCGAGCGATTTGACAGATGATGTGGCTTATCTTGAGAATTTTATATGAATATTATTAGTAGATTTGCTATAATGCGAAAATGTTTGTGTTGAAACTTACAATATTTATGTTATTTATCTCGGTGCACCACTGTAGACTGCCTGATAAAGTATATTGTGTTAATCCGCAATGTAATGGTGAGTGCTTTACACGATGTTTTCATGTGTAACTTTCTTTCAATATGTCTCACATACGTTTCCTAAATCTTTCCAGAGCCGATATCAAAAGCGAAAACCTTGCTGAGTTATAACAGCGGCGATAAAGACCTAATGTCATTTCGCGGGAATGCTGAAGCTATCATTTTAATGAAGTCAGCTGGTACTAATCCTGACTTGTGGTATGCAACCATTGACGGTAAATCTGGTTTTGTGAGCAACAGATTTTTGAGGGAAAGTAGAGTATTTGTTAAGGAACCTGAACATATTTTACCTACTGAAGTTAGAGAAAAACGATCTGAGGAAGTTCTACCTGACAGAGTACAGCAAGTCCATGAAGTAGTCGAAGGAACCACAATTTACTCAGGTGAAGCAACCAGTGACAATAGCCAATATGACAGCACTACTCACCCACCAGAGCTTTCACATGACCAATCTACTCCACCAATCTTAAATGCAGATTATGCTGATGCTCTTTTTGATAAAGGTCCTGAAAACACAAATGCAATGGATGAGAATTCTAGTCAACAAGTTATAGAGTCATCATCATTCCCTACTGATTATGATTATGCACAGCCAACTACTCCACCACCTTTACATCAGCCAATGACTGAATCACCTATACATGGAACACTACAACAAAATTCTGCCGATTATGATGATGCATTAGGGCCAGATCGACCAACTCAAAACATTCCTGAAACCATAGTTACTCATGAACAATTGAATCCTCATAGAAATGTTGATCAAAATGTTCCAACCATTGAACCCCTTCCAACTCCACAATCCATTGCTAGTGGAGAAGCCTCACTAGCTGCTCAAGTGCCTGAAAATATAGATTTACTGCCACAAACCTTGGTACCAAATTCTGTAGAAAATAGAGATTATAGTGTAGAAAACAATGTTTCCAAGGAAGCTCTAAATATTGTTGAACAACAATATTCAGAATACAAGGACAGTTATGATAAGCAACAACCGACGCAAGAAAAAGAGCCCGACTATGGAGATGCTTTGTCTGATGACTATTTGCAAAATTATCGTAGAGTGGCTGAGAATGGTCAAGTGCAAGAACCTACTATTCAAACCATCCCTGCATTACAGCCAGAAGATGCAAATTCAGCAAGTGCTGATGTTAAAGAACCTCCAGCTGTTGTTGAAACTACAAACCAAGCCACTAATGACGAAACCACACCTGTAATTGCAACGGAAATTTCTAGCCAAGAACAATATCAAGATATTATTCCTACTTTAGTACCACCAACACCTGTAGATTCTTTGGAGAATGTTGGAGGGGCTTATGTAACACCTGCCCCAGAGATATTTTCTCCTGCAAGTATACAAGAAAGCCAAGAACAGAATTCTGATTATTCACAAACAAGTGAAAATTCAGATGTTATAGCAGACACTATCCCGGCTGTTGATGTGCTTGAAGATTATACTGTTGTTTCAACTTTAACTCCTAATGAGAATACTGAAAGTGTCTCAGAAACACCATCTACAGACACAACTGAGGAGTCTATTACAACCAGTTATGACCAAATACTAGACTATGACAGTGCCAAAACAGAAGCAACATTTGATGAATACAGAAGAAATGCAGACGATGGAATAAATGATGCTACTTACATAAGAGAAGATGATGAAGATCATAGTTTATTCTCAAATGTCTTCACTACACTATCCAGCTTATGGTCAACTGATGCACCTCCAAGTAAAGAAGATGGCGCAGCTGATGTTGATCAACCAGAAAATAAAGTTGATGTTCTATCTTGGTACTCATTTGTCTCTTATCTTACAAACGCTTTTAACTCTCAAGAAGAGACTAAAGCCCTGTTTGCTTCTTCTGGTAAGTGATTATTACTTTTCTTTTAATTAGATTCTGTGTACATTTTCAGTGTTAGTGGTAACACAAAATAATTTAATTTGCCAGTATGGTACTATTCTTATGGGCACATTTCTTATTACAAGTGAGCACTATTTAAGTCTGAATATACTTCAAAATTTTTTTTTATTGTATAGCTACTAATAATTATTATAATACCAACTAACATTCTTAGTATCATCTTACAAATAATTTTCTTTATTTAAGGGTTTCTGTTCTAGTTTCTTTGTTAATACATACCAAGGCCAAATAACTTGTCAACTACATACTATCAGATTGGAAATTATGTAAATTTTTCATATTAACGTTTTATTCATTCAGGGAATACTTGTTACAAAGATGACTATTGCGATGGCAACTCTACAGACCATAACAACCGTCTTCTCACATTCCTTCTTACAACTGCAAGCTCAGTATTGCTATTCTGTTTGGGATACTACTATCTGGACAACAGACGGCAGGACAGCAAATTTATAGCCAATATCAATTCATTGCAGAGAGATTTGTTGTTTGCTACAAAGGTAATAAATCTATAAACATAATATCTAAAATTAACTTAATATCTGTTATATTATAATTATATATTATTATGTTTTAAGGTACTAAATAGAAACTATTTCATATTTATATCAGGAAGTTAGTGCCAATAAAAAATATGACTACTCCATTTATAGAAATTAATAAAAAACAATTCATAATTGGTTTATTTGTTGAAACATATTGTACGAACTTTAACAGTTACAAAATAAGTACAGTTTCACCATACCTATTGGAACATTGTATGCCTACTTGGTGCAATGGGCTGGTGTAATCAACTCGTCGACACAGCGCCTATTTTGCGTGTGGTGGGTGCAGGGTCCTACTCGTGCCACTCAAGCTCCTCCAGGAATCTCAGCAACTTCGGTTTGCTGAAGATTTCGGGGAGCGACCTCGGCACTCCAAGGTACTTCGCCCTATAGTTGGCCAAGCCGGAACACTGTAGTAGGATGTGCACGGCCGTTACCTCCCCCTCCATGCACGCTCGGCATAGAGGGCTGTCCATGATACCTAAATTAAAAAGGTGTTTATTGTATGGACCATGACCTGTTAGTTAGAGCAGCAGGCAGTTAGAGTGCGAAGCTCTTGCATTTGAAGTTTGATTCATTATCGAAATAGACTGGCGTTGAGCGTGAGGAGTGCTTCCCTCGCCTACAAATCGTAAGGGTTGTTCATGTGTTATTATGAAAAGATTTTGTACCTTTGTGTATAGTTGTTCTTGACCACTGGTAGGGGAGGGACATTACTGGTTCTGGTCCTACAGCGTCTGTCTTCAACCCTTTGTTGGCTGGTTCATCTGTTGCGTCATTGCCACGTGAGCCGCTGTGTCCTTTAATCCACTGTAGGGTTACGTGGTTGTATATACATACCTCCATGAGTGTTTAATGGCGTTCGTAAATGAGCCCTGAGTTTATGTCATAGCCGTCCAGTGCTTGAAGTACTGACATGCTGTTGGAGAGTATTCAAATGGAGTGATTCTTTACTCTTCTCACTATGATTGCTTCTGCTGCCAACTTGATACCCATACAATCAGCCCTGTGTTGTGGTCACCATGCAGTGTTGATATCCTGATATTGAGGTCTTCTGAGAATACCCCAGTACCTGTTCCTGAATTTGTTTTTGATCCATTAGTGAAGACACAGACCTCTCTGGGATTCAGTCATTCGATGGGATCTTCAAAGAATTGTATCTTGTATTTTTTGTCAAAAATGTATTGTTTCAGGATCCGATCCACAGCCGCCTATAGTAGCAGTTTCTCTTTAACAGTTATGTAAAGGATTTCTGTATGTGGGGTCCTCATGTGCTTCCAAAGGCCTGCTCTGTTTAAATGCACTGCTGTTGACGCTGTTTCCTGTTTGATGAACAGTGGTAGGGGTCGCAGGGCCAGCATCGCTTCGATGGCCGCAGTAGGAGTTGTCCTCATGCAGCCCGTCGTTGCCATGCAGGCTAGTCTTTGGAATTTGTCCAGCTTGTCGGTTGCGGTCGTCAGATTGGTTCGTGGCCACCGTACTATCGCGCCGTAACTGATCATGGGTCCTTATCACCGCTGTGTAGAGCCATAGTGTTATCATTGTATGCCTAATGTTAGGATGGGTACAATAAATGCATAAATGATAATAATCAGAAAACTTCTGACAATACTGACCTCCTTCTTCATCATCCCACTTATTTAAAAAATTTTAAATCATTCTCGAATTCCCTTTTCCTTCACTATCCTTACATTGGGACATTCTTTTTGCCAAGGCAAGGCTACAAGCTGAACAAAGTGTGTTTATAAATAATTATGAAGTGTTTTATGGAAACATTCAAATATTATATATCTAAAATTTTATCTCATTTTATTTTCTGTCCTAGGAGTGTGAGATCCTTAAAGAGGAACTTACTGCTACTAAAACAAAATTAGCGGGTATTGAAGACAGTTCTTTCGGTATGGACGACATGGTCCAATCGTTGAAGGAAGAAATTAATGAACTGAAAGCTCAAAATGAAAGACTGAGGACGTCATTAGATGATAATGAGAAACTGCTAAGAGTGTCTGAGAATACAGCAAGTGAACTACAGGCGGAATTGGGTGAAGTAGAAAATACTCTTAGTGAGCTCTTTGCTGAAAGAACAAACTCTGAAGAGCAAATTGCAGAATTGAATGGTAATTTTTTATTTTCTATTGGAGCATAGATAGCATAATGACACTATGTCTAAAAACACTCTGAATGTATATATTAAATTATAATGTAATACCGCACACACTCAACATTTCCCCACACTAGGGAAAAAAAATGTGCGTGTGCCATGGACACACACATAGACAACCGCAAATTAAACCTAAACTCACGAAAGAAATGAATGAAAGCCATGCAAATATTTCTCCCGGTCCGGAAATCGAATCTGGGACCTCTGCGTGGCTGTCCGGCATGGTAACCGTTCGGCCACGGAGGCACTACATTGATTGTACCTAGTTATCATGAATATAAACAAGCTTTCGTAACATGGTTAACGAAAATTGCACAATCAAACAATAATAAAACGCTTATTTGGGCGTACCTAATTAAAACTACTCTTTCGGTTGCGCAATTTCGAAACAACAGTAAAAGTGCGTTATGGTTGTTAATTAAAGCAAATGAAATTTGAATAACCTTTATGAACCAAAATATTGATTGTATGTAAATCAAAACTGGCTTGAATAAAAAGCTATATATGTTCATTAACACATCTAAAGGAACGCAATAAAATAGTATTTTATGCAATTATTGCATAATAGGAGTGCTTAAAGTCGAGTAAAGTGAAAAAGAAAATGTAAAAATGATAATGAGTTGAAATTTGTTTTTAAAATTGCGTTTGTTGATAAATTTTGTTAACATTTTTCTTTCTTTTTTTTTAATTTTCACCCGTTAATTTGGGTAGGCAAAGGTTTTATCATACAGCCTCTTCATAAAAATTTTATTTTTCATTCATTTAATGGCAAAGGCGACCAGCGCCTGTTCTGTAGTTTTCTTTTTTCAGTTTATTTCATAAGTTATGAAGGGCTGATGTTATGTAGTTGTATAGGACAGGATAAGCTTCTATGTTTTTCAATAGATCTTCTGTTGAGCGCGGGATATCCTCAGGTTTGCTATATATTTCCAGCAGGTGATCATTGAAGCTATGGCAATAAATTTACAATTAAAACATATATGGTCCAAAGTTTGATTGGTTCTATTTTTCGTTAACAATGCACGACAGCAAAGGCAGTTCTTTCTTAATAAATTTCAACTCATTTATTAGGCTAGGTAAAGGTTCCACCATAAGCCTCTTTTACACGAAAGCTAAACAAAAGCTTGTTGGTGGTCCACGGGCAAGAAGCAAAAAGGCCAAAGAGTGAGAAAGAAGAGACTGCTTATATTTTAACCAATAATTTTTTTGTTTTTGCCCCGTTGCAAAACTTTTTGACCATTTTAACCAATCAAATATGCCGCTACTCAAATACAGTATAGCATGTGAGTATCGGCATATTTGATTTTTTGTTAGCAAGAATACGACGTTCTTTTTCGAAACTCATTATAGTTCTGTATAAAGAAATACTAGTCTTTGTCTATCCACTATGTACAGAACTGTAATACTGTAATCAAATTTTTCACTTGTGTTGTGAGTGCCATAGACAAAATACACACATTGAATCAGAACTAATAAGAGTAACATTATAATTAACAGATTAAAGTACAGGAGTAGAAAAAAATATTTAATACATTTAATTTACACTGACTTCTGAATAAGAAGTTAAAATTTTGCAAAAGTTTAGTCATTTTGTTACAGTGTAGTCATTAAGTGTACAAAATACTTAAACATTACTTTTTTCTAATTGTGTCAAAACATGATATTTCAATAGTAAAAAGAAAGCATTAAAAGGAAATTAAAATTTAAAATCTATTCAAATACTTCAATAGATACACATAATCTAAGATAACAGAGTTTTTTATCTTTTATTTTAGGTAAAATCCAAGCATTTGAAGCAGAATTGATAACAGTGAGTAGAGATAGAGACAGTTTCCAGCTGAAATATGTATCAGCAGAGGCTGCTTTAGAAGAATCTAAAAAACAAAAGGAGAAATTAGATGAACTTAATGAGAAAATAAAGGAAGCATGTAATAATAATGAGTTGAAGAAACACGAAATTATTGCACTAAAGGTGAGTGTATTATTACATTGAAAACAATTTCACGAAATAAGTTTATATAAAAACAATTCACTTATTTTATAAAACAAACAATTGTTTTATTGTTACAAAAACATTGAGGTTGTTGCAATTCAAACTTTTATGAAGCACATTTTTTTTTCCCAACACATCCTGATCTTAAACTAGGGTCTTAAACCGTGTACTATGCAACAAAATTCACTCCGGGACACACTCCCAACATACCCAGACCAGAATCAATTTAGAAAAGTTAATTCCCCAAATTGATCCTCCAGGAAATCGAACCCGTTATCGTTATCATTATGAAAAAGTGCTGAAATTGAAAATGTAACTTTTACAAAACAAATACAACATTTTAAAAAGTGGCTAGTTCAAATATGACGAATGTCTCGTACATTAATTCTTTAAAATTTACTTTGACAGTTTCCCAAAAATTGTACTTTTCGAATTTGTCACTTTATTATTGAGAATGCGCTATGAGGGCTGTTACATTACATATACATATAAACATGAAAAGAAACAAAAAGAGATTGTTGATATTATGTGCTTAAAGAAAATATTTTAAATTCATTGAAAAATATTTTTATGAAATAAGAAACACATTAGTACAAAGGAACATGTGAAATCTCATGTTTTAACACATGCCTTTTGCGCAGTATATAATAAGCAGTGATCGGAATAGGTAGAGTTTATTTACTTAAACTTCGAGGAACATAGACAGAAAGTGGAGACTGCTATTTTTTCCCCGGATGTTTCGGGATTCGGGAAATCACTCAAGTAGATTAAAAATTGACGTTATTTGGGATATTTAGTAGGTAGACAATATTTATTTAAACTTTTGCGGCGAGTTATATAATTATAATATTTAGGAAATCTCGACAAAAAAAATCAAAATTTTCATAAATATACTCAACCTAGTAGCAGTAGAGCTCCTTGTGAAAGAGTTTGTCCAGGAAAGCACTGCCACCTTACCTATTTTTGCCGCCGAGCAGTAATGTCAGCATTACTGTGTTCCAGTTTTGAAGGGTAAGGGTGCTGGTGAAATTACAGACCATGGGACTTGTCAACTTATGTCTCAGGGTGACAGGCGCAGTGGCAGTGCCCCTCAGTTCATTGCGATTTAAAGCTCTGAGTGGCACTGCAACTGTTATGGAGAGACTGTGTAGCTTACCATCATACTTCTTCGTCCCGTCACTTGATATTATGTAAAAAAACCTACCTATCCCAAATAACGTACATTTTTTATATAGGTACCTAAGTGATTTCCCGAATCCCGAAAAAATCCGGGAGAAACAAATGTAGTCGTAAGACAGTCTCCACTTTCCGTCTCTGTTCATGGAAATTTAGGTAAATAAACTCTACCTATTCCGATCACTGATAATATTATATTAAAATATTAGCAATTATAGTAATAGACAATAAATATGATAGATACTGCCAGTGCTTACTAGGAAAATTGGATTTTTGCAAATTTTCTTCACATTGTAGTCACAATATCCAACAATAATTCATTGTAGGTCTAAAGTCTAAACTATTTCTTCCAGGATACAATAAAAGAGTTGAAGAATGGATTGTCAGGAAACGTCGATGTAGGGTCGTTGATCGATCATACGGAAATCAAAGCTAAGTTGGCAAAGGCTTTGGAAGAAAAGAAATCTTTCGAGAACAAATATGAGGTACTCATCGTTTCTCATGAGACGTCAAAATTTGTCGTGAGACGAATGAATGTTGTTTCAAGAAATTTATTGTTGCTATATCGTGCTGCGGTTGTACCATGCAATCATTATTAGTACCTTAGTTGCTTTTTGCTCTTGGGAAGCATCAAGTCCATACTGTCTTTAGTAGCAGTAGAGCTCCTTGTGAAAGAGTTCGTCCGGGGAGCTACTGCCACCTTACCTATTTCAGTCGCCAAGCAGTAATGTGAGTATTACTGCGTTCCGGTTTCGAAAGGTGCTGGTGAAATTACAGGCACTGCAATTGTTATGGACAGGTGTGTCGCTAAACACCAGGCGCACGACTTGTTCTTCCCGTCTCTTTCATAACAAAAAATAATAATAAACATTTTATGTAGTACATAAAACATCTTGTACAGCACAGCACACATCAGCTGAAACTGAAAATGTATAAGCAATGCTGTGGTCATTCATGTCGTACATAGCAAACAAGTGTAGCCTAAAATAAGTTTTGATTTAAATTTTTTTCCTATTTATACGGTCGAACGTTTTTTGTTAACGTGCAACTGTAAACCAGACACTTCCATTCAAGAGTTGTCTACGTAGTACTAATGAATTAATATTATTTACAGGTAGAACATAAAGAAAGAAGTCGCCTAACGGAAGAGCTTCGTATTGCTCAAGAATCCTTGCGCACTACTAGTCAGCATGCCTCTGAGGCCCTCACCAGACTCGAAGTCCTCGGCAAGTACTTCCAGGAGAGAGAAGGAGAACTTATGAAGTAAGTAAAATAATAATACTGTGCCCCAACTACTCCAATTGCCTGGTTTCAAAGTAGGTAATAATTCCCTATACTAAGTGTACCAGAGCAACGCAATTCACTCTGGGGCACTTCCCAGAACACCCATACCAGAACCAATTTAAAAATTTTCATTTCCCCAAATTAATCCTACCAAGAATCGAACCTGGAACCTCCTCATCTAGTGCCCAGAGTGCAAACCGCTGGGCTACCCAGGTCGTCCAATCGTCTAGGTAAATAAAAAAAATAGAAATTTAACAATATTAAAATTGCAGACAATTTTGAGTTGTCACATATTTGTCTGTTATATAACATAATAGTTATTTGTTATGCAAGGCTGCAAAGTTATTGTTTGACGAGAGTGCTTGTATTGAAACCTGAGCAAGGTAAGATTCAATTTTAATAAACACAATTAGCTATGATTGTCAAATTAATGTGTAATGTATGCAGTTGTTGTTTGACGCGAGTGCTTGTATTGAAACCAGAGCAAGCGCAGGAGCCTAAGATTACAATCCTGAGCGTAGCGAGGGTTTCAAGACACGAGACGCAAAACAACTTTGCTGCCGAGGGAAACACACAACGTAGTTGAACGTGTCATTATGTTTTTTTTCATCGAACGAAAAAGTTAGGAGCACCACAGTCCTTTGTCAAGTTCGAATTTCAATAACATTTTCCACGCTAGCGTGGAAACATCGCGTATATAACCTGAAATATAGACGAAATGTCATTATATTTGTTTGAAAACTATTCTGCCATATCGTAGTGGTGGCAACTGCGGTCCGACGGGCCAGTCCGAATTCAAAACAATTGACGGGTGTCGTCAATTGTTTCACTTCAAATGGACCAAAATTGAAAAATTACATAATTTAATATTTAATTTACTTATGAAATGCGATACCGTTTGTTTTGTAATTAGATGTTTTACTGTTTTTACCACACCACCGAAGGGAACAGCCCCATATAGTTAGAGATATTATCAGTATTACAATAAATACAGAATATTTTTGGAATATACGGAGACGTACACACAGGCCAGTTGTTGGCACTGTACTATTTCAGATTTCTAATTTGTTATTTCAGTGTAAACGACAGTTGATATTTAAAAGTGATACGCGGGGCGCACTGTAAGTTTCCGGAATAAATAAGAAAATATACTATAAATGGTCAGAAATGAATTTATTGTTTCTTAAAATATTCTCTGACAATGTCTGAAACATATTTTTCATACTCTTCGACAGCCTCTTCGGGTGATGAAAATCGTTGACCGCATAACTGGTTCTAATATTTATTAGAAATAAATAACAGTCACAAGGTGTCAGGTCGGGACTGTACGCGAGATGGCTCATAACTTAACTTTAACTGCCTCCGTGGCCGAACGGTTACCATGCCGGACTGCCACGCAGAGGTCCCAGGTTCGATTCTCGGGCCGGGCGAAATATTTGTATGACCTACATTTATTTCTCTCGTGAGTTTGGGTGTAATTTGTGGTTGTCAATGTGTGTGTCCATGGCACCCGCGACACAGGGTTTCCCTAGTGCGGGGCTATGTTGAGTGTGTGCGTTATTATTATTATTATTATTATTATCATAAGGTCAACGTTGTTCACCTTCAAAAATTCTTTTGTCTGTCTGGCCGTGTGAGAACTGGCATTATCGTGGTGCAAGATGATACGGCGTTTACGGTTATTTTTACGGAGTTTGTCAATAACTTCCGGCAAACGAATGGTCGTGTACCAATCACTATTCACGGTACAACGATTCTCCAAAGCAACAGTAGCCACGTGTCCAGTTTTATTAAAAAAAGAAGCAATCATCCGCTTAGAGGCACTTTGCATGCGCGCCACTTTGGTTGGTTTCGGCTCTCGAAAGACCCATACGCTCGATTGCTGCTTTGTTTTGGGATCGTAACTATGAATCCATGTTTCGTCACCTGTTTCTATGTCCCAAACCGAATTTGACGCCCCTTCGTTGAATCTGGTAAGCATGGCATTGCACCGAGTGACGCGATCCGTTTTTTGAGCCTCAGTCAAATTGTGTGCGATCCACCGAGAGCACAGCTTTTTCGCACCCAAATGTTTGTGTAGTATTGATTGTATTTGACTCATGCCTATGCCCAAAGATGCCTGAATCTTTTGGTATGTCACATGCCTGTCTGTTTTGAGCATACGGCGCACAGCATCGATGTTTTTGTTGTTTACAGCAGTGGACGGGCAACCAACACGAAATTCGTCACTGAGATTAACACGACCGCGTTTGAATACTACAAAGCAGCTATAAATTGTCGTCTTGCATGGCGCTTTACAAAGCAGTTTGAAGTCGAGCGAAGCTCCGCTGACCTGTTAAATTACACTTAAAGTCGTAGAAAATCATACTACGAAAATTTTCGCGTGTTAAATCCATCGTGATGTAGACAACCAATTTCTGAAAAGACGTCGCGATGTAAAAACAAGTGACAGTCAGATGAAACAAACAGTATTCTACAAGCAAAGAGTTCCATTTTCAAATGTTGTAATTACTTTTTAAATATTGTTCATATAAGTTGCCAGTCCCGGAAACTTATAGTGCGTCCTATAAATAAGTCCCATTTACCCGATGAGTCGCCAGGCTTGGATGGCTCTTATTTCTAATCGATGCGTCAAAAGAACGCTTTTGCGCACAGATTTCTAATGAGAAAGAAAGTCTTTCCGAGCCAGTGAGGCTAAAAACTTATTTGTTACTTAAAAAAAATATTTTTAGTGAATAGTTTTTGTGTTCGTAGAACATGGTAGTAAGTAGTGTACACATGCTGCCCTCATAACTGACGTAATCGACATTTTTAGC